TGAAATAACCCTTCTCTTACTTGTTCCATGTTGCTTTCTTTTCTACAGCTTCTTTCCAACCTGCTTTTTTGGAATAAGTTTCCTAGCATTAAACATAGCCATGTTTTTTAAAATCATGTATCCTGATACAAATTTTTTTTTTTAAATGAAATGAAAGTGACAGTATGTGACTTCAGAGATTGTCTTTAAGAGGTACTGAGCTTTCATCTTGGTCATCTTGTTTTTCATTTTTTATTGAATCACCTGTTTTGGGGACACGAGCTTCCATACTGTGAGCTGCCCCATAGAGAGATCCATGGGGTAAAGAGCTGAGACCCCTGACCAATGGCCAGCAAGGAACAGACTGCCAACAGCCATTTGGGTAAGCCATCTTGGAATCGGATTCTCCAGCTACAGTCAAGCCCTGAGATAATTGGGATCCCACTTTGGAACAGGATGAAACCTCACGAAAAACCCTAGCCAGAATCATCCATCTAAGTTACCCTCTGACCCTTAGAAACTGTAAGATATTGTTGTTTGAAGCTGCCAAATTTTAGGGTAATGTATTATGCATCAAGAGATAACTTATACATGAATAGTAACAGTTGCCAACACATTCTGATGGCATTGAATCTTAATTTGGAGTCAAAGGAAGATAACTACTACATTGCAATATAGCAATTTCATTTATAGAAATCTGTCCCAGGAGCTTTTGCCTATGTCATTACAAATTTATGCACAAAGTTATCAGGGATTATTTACCTTGCATTAAAATATTCAGCAATAAGAAATTGCTAAATAAATTATGGTCTATCAAGCACAAGTAATTTTAAACAACTTTTAACAATAAGTTGAAAGACTTTGAAATGCTTCTTCTGGCGGCTCAGCCATCCATTCTCCCAGTGTCCTAATTCTTTGCAATAGGCACACTGGTCCCCTTTCAGATCCAGCCTTCCTTTTCCTGACGTGGCTCCTTGCTGTCTCCCTTTCCTTTTCTGGGAGCTAGCTTCTTTAGCAGCCACAGCAATCAGATTCACTTTCCTTTTTAGTTTCTCTCAGCCTTCGTTTTAGCCCCTTTTTTTTCGATTAATGAAACCTTGTTAGCTATCTCTAGCAGTTCAGTAGCAGGTTTCCTGCAAAGACAGAGCTTTCTCCTTAGGTTTGGCTAAGCCTGACTAATGAAGGCTGCATTGATCATAGTTTGATTCTATGAGGCCTCTGGGTCAAAAGGAGTGTAAACTCAATATGCTTCACAGAGTCTCTCATAAAAGGCTGCCGGCTTTTCATGAGGCCTCTGGAAAACCTCAGAGGTCTTAGTCATATTAGTGGCCTTCTCGGACCCAGCCCAGAGCCCCTAGAGGAAGGCCAGCCAATATCTCTCTAACTTGGCCCTCCCATCCTCTGAATTCGGGTCTCATCTGGGTTCCACATCTGGGAGAGTGTCCCTGGCCCATCTGTTTGTGTCCCTGTTGGGGCCTGGGTCTGGAGCCATTTCCAAGCTTGGTATTATACTCATGCGCTCCTTGGTGTTAAAAAGCATGAGAAGGAATTGTTTGCAGTTAACCCATGTGGGCTTATGGGTCAAAAAACTGATGCCGGAAGGTCAACTGTGGCTTGAAGTTTTACGGAATAAGCGGGAGTATGATGCTTTCAATTTAAGAGATTGGTCGTAGTAAAAGGATGATAATAAAAGACTGATCCCCCTCTTGTGGGGTCCCATTTTCTCCAATTATATGAGGACCCACATTTTCTCGGAGAGGCATCTGAAAAGCCAGGAAAAAATCTTATTCTAGCCTAAATACTTCCCCCCTGGTGCTTGCTTGCCTCAGCACACATAAATTCTATCATATCACAAACCACACTCTACTGAGGTTTGCCTGTCTCCCCTTCAGAACTCTGAACTCTGTCTTGCTCATCTTGCTTTGGAATTCGTAAAGTGTAGCACCGGGCCTGGCAGTGGAATGCAATAAATATGTGCAAATGGATGAATAAAAGGATTCCTCTGGCTATTGCATTTGTTCATATATGGAATCATAAAACAAGATGTAATATAAAGGCACTTTTTACTATAAATATGAATGAATGCTTCTTTGGTAGCAAGACTTAACACATCTTTAAAGGAAGAATGAGTTGAATATTTGCTTTAAGAGTGGTTTATTTTTATCCCTCCAAAGTAATCCGAAGACAGGCAAACATTTCCTCTTCCTGCACAGTAATTCTCTATCACTTACTCTTTCTCTTTAATCTTTATTTTATTTTGAAAGAACACAACATGAGATCTACTGTCTTAAATGTTAAAGTGTACAATAAACTAGTGTTAGCCATAGGTACAATGTTGTATAGCAAATTTGTAAAGTTCATTCATCTTGCTTAACTTAAACTTTATAACAATTGATTAGAAAGAAGAAAATATATCAAATGAGTATATTCTAATTTTATTGAAAAAATATTTTTCAAAATTTCTGTGCCATATATTGAATTAGAAGAATCATCTTCCATTTAATTAGAAGAACCATTCTCTCTCTCTGTCTCTCTGTCTCTCTCTCTCTGTCTCTCTCTCTCTCTCTCTCTCTCTCTCTCACACACACACACTCTCTCTCTCTCTCTCTCTCTCTCTCTCTCTCTCTCTCTTTCTCTCTCTCTCTCCCTATCTTCCCCTCTCCTTTCTCAAGCTTGAGATAGCCAGTTGTCAGCTCTAACCAAAGTTGTACTGTAACAATACAAAGACTACAAAATGCTTTATTATCATAAGGTTGCAACTATTATGTTCAAAAGTATGTGTGGGCAGAGACTAGAAAAGTAATATGAAATGCAACTCACTGACATTTACTGAGCACTCACAGTGACCTACACTCTGTTCTGGACGTGATTAAAAAGAAGGAACAGACCCTCTCTTGGAGGAGTCCAGTCTCATAGCATTTACTCAGATTGCCATAATCTCCTTCGATAAGAAACTGTGATGCCATTTGCTCTGTCCCCAACTTGGAGGACACCACTACGCACCAAGGGTCAAACTTCTGGGGTTTCAGTGGTCCATTAATGTTTATGGGCTTCTAGGGAATTACTGTGGAGAATGTCAACTTTATTAGTGGGAACTAAGATTGTTATTGGGGTGCGAAGGAGATGAGAGTTTCTGGGATGTAAGAAGTATATGTCCTTCTCACATGGTTAACAAAAAATCAGTGTTGGTGTTTCTAAAGCACAGTATCTGTAAAGGTCCCATGCAAGGAGCTAGTGTGTGGGCAAACTGACCACTGGGCCTGTAATTTTGGGATGGCTCTGGGAGTCTGGCCCCCTTCTTCAGGCACTGCACTGATGTTTGTTTATAGCCATCCTTTCTCATATCCAAGAGGAGCACAGCTTTTTCTCCTAAAAGCACTACGAGGAAAGGCTGAGCTATTCGCTACTTCACAAGCAAAGAGATAGAAAGTTTCCAGTGCTGGTCCCAGGACCCAAACAGTAAAGGCTTATTCTGTCTCTTTCAGAAAGGGTCAAGACCTGAGAAGCACAAAGGTCTTTTTACTCACCTTGAGAAGGGAAAGCAATACTATTACTTTGCGTTGCTTCTGGATGTATTAGTCTCCACATAGGGCAGACGAGAAAATTCTCTATTTCCAGATACAGGCTTGCAGAAGTGGTGAAAGACTACCGATTGTTAGGTCAGTAATCAAGATGTTTGAAGGATGCCACTGGGGCTCTTTCTCTTCTCTCTCTGTATATCCTGGTCCTGCTTTCGTCTGTGTGGACATCAGTCTGCCAGCCCATTCAAAACAGCAAACCCTCAATCCCCCTTGCCTTATCCTGCTCTGAGGATTCAGGTTTATAAGACTCCAAGTACCCAAAAGCTCAGCAAGAGAAAGATTCTTTCTTTCCAAGGATCTCTGGGATGGACTCCAATGAGCTCTGCTTGATCATATATGCCTGTCCCTAGATCACAGCTGTGTTCAAGAAGATGAGGTACTTAGATTGACCAGCTTGGGTTACACACCTTCTGTTACAATGCAGAGGATGTGAGTAAAAGCCCTACCAGGTAAGGTAAGAAACAACTCCTAAAAGGAAAGCTTTTTAGCGGACAAAATATTAACAGACAACAACAACAACAACAAAAACACACCAAAAATCCCAAACCAAACAAACATGAAAAAAACTAGAATAGGTGTTTATTAGCTAGGGGGGTAAGGGGTGGGGGGGAAATAGTCAGGTTGACCTCCAGGTTTTTATTGCTAGGTGACTGGTGATGTTAATAGAAAATGCTCAGGTAGAAGCAGTTTGAGCCCATATTGAGAGTTGAGTTGTTAAAATGTTGGATTGAGGGTGACATTCGAATAATACATTGGAAGCAATGAGTCACAGGAGCATAGCAGAAAGATATACATTTAAAATATAATTTTAAATATAAAATTGATTCCTCTTAGGGTGCATCAGGGTATGCAGTGGGAAAGACATGACAATTCTTCTTTTTAAAAAAATACATTTTTATTGATTTCAGAGAGAAAAGGAGAGGGAAAGAGAGATAGAAGCATCAATGATGAGAGAATCATTGGTTGGCTTCCTCAGGCATGCCTCCTTTGGGGATCAAGCCTGCAACCCCAGCATGCGCCCTTGATAAGAATTGAAACTGGAACCCTTCAAACCAGCTAGGGCTCTAGCATAATTCTTCAGTGGGTAAGTTCTTTAGATCAATAATCTATGTTGCCTATTTCAGAAACCTCCTTACAATATTAAGCCCCCGACCCCAAACCCCTATCCCCACCAGAAGCTGCACTTCCTTCCAGTCATCTCTGGACTTTCACTGCTAGGCTTGGGCTTGGAGTCCGTAAGAGACCCCAGAGAGAGACACCTACGGACTACAATTCCCAGCGTGCTCCGCAAACGGGCGGGGCGTGCCCGGGGGCGGGGCCAGGAACAGCCACCCGGAGAGCGCGGAGGCGGGGAGATCCGGCGTTGGGCGCCGAGCTGAGGTGGTGAGAGAAGAGCTCCCGGATGTGGAGAAGCTGGGGAGGAGTAGGCGTGGGAGGAAGATGGACTCGGTGGAGAAGGGGGCCGCCACCACCGTGTCCAACCCGCGGGGGCGGCCGTCCCGGGGGCGGCCTCCGAAGCTGCAGCGCAACTCCCGCGGCGGCCCGGGCCGGAGCGTGGAGAAGCCCCCGCACCTGGCGGCCTTAATCCTGGCCCGCGGCGGCAGCAAGGGCATCCCTTTGAAGAACATCAAGCACCTGGCGGGGGTCCCGCTCATCGGCTGGGTCCTGCGTGCGGCCCTGGACTCGGGGGTCTTCCAGAGGTGCGCACGGCGGGGGGGGGGGGGCAGGCGGGTAGCGCGGCGGGGGGCGGGGGCCGCGGGGAGCATCGGGGGCCGGCGGAGGGGCAGCGGGGGCCGGCGGAGGGGCAGCGGGGGCCACGGGGGAGAGGCGGAGGGCTGGGGGGGGAGCATCGGGAGCCGGCGGGGGAGCAGCGGGGGCCGGCGGAGGGGCAGCGGGGGCCACGGGGGAGCGGCGGAGGGCTGGGGGGGGAGCATCGGGAGCCGGCGGGGGAGCAGCGGGGGCCGGCGGAGGGGCAGCGGGGGCCTGCGGAGGGGCAGCGGGGGCCACGGGGGAGCGGCGGGGGACTGGGGGGGGGGAGCCCGCGGAGGAGCGGCGGGGGGCTGGGGGGGGGAGCCCGCGGAGGAGCGGCGGGGGCGGGGGCCGCGGAGGAGCGGCGGGGGGCGAGGGCCGCGGGGGAGCGGCGGGGGGCGAGGGCCGCGGGGGAGCGGCGGGGGGCGAGGGCCGCGGGGGAGCGGCGGGGGTTCTGGGGGGCGCTCGCTCCTGGAAGGGATGTGCGGCACCTGGGGTGTCTGGGCCCCGGCTGAGAGCCCTGGAAGGACGGGCTCCAGCTTATTCCTTGTTCTGTAGCCGCTGATAATCATGCCCTGGGACAGATCCTGACCCCGCCCTCGAGAATGCCACCGCTACATGGGGACATTTCCTCTTAACCGCCTTTCGCCGCTCCTGCTACCTCCCCGGGAGAGGAGGCCACTCCCGCGATGACCGGTGGACTCCTAGGCGGAGGCCACTGCTGCCCGCGGCTGATAGCCACTGGGTGCTGCTTGCTGGTGGATCAGGGAGGCGTCAGGTTCCTGAACGGAGGGGGGTGTGTGTGTGTGTGTGCGCGCCCGTGTGCAAAGGCTTTCTCATTTCCAGCTCAGCCTGGAGAACCTTCCCTGACCTTTGAAAAAATGCTCGAAGCTATCGGCCTGTGAGTCAGCACAATCCAGGGCTCCCCGCATTCGTTGGCAGGTGGGAGACAGTGGGAGAGCGAACAGCTGGCTGTTTTATGTGCTGTTAAATGGTTTTATCATACCTTTGGAACCTGGGCTGCCCCGAGGACAGTTTTATTGTTCATCACATAGAGAGAGAGGTTGCCATATGCCGTAGGAGTTACAAGCTGATGTCATTCATAAAAGATGGGAGATAGAAGTCTGTGCCAAGAACACGTCTGCACAAAGCAACTTCGACCTAATTGTATTTGAGTGTGTTACTGGGGAGAGTAAATTGTTTTGACCTTTGGATGTTGGGGATGTTGGTTTTTAAAGAGATGGCTGTCTTTGAGGCGGGTTAATTACCCACATTTATATCCAGGTATCGGTGTACTAATTCCTTTAATGTGTTAACCCGAAGGAAGCCTGGGTGGACAGAGGTGGCACCCAGAAGATAACAGTAGTGCAACAGGAAGTGTGCAAAGGACAGATAGGGAAAGACGTGGGGCTTTAGTCCAATTCAGCAAATATTTACCGAGCCTTAATTTCTGCGCTCTGCATCCAAGAGAATAAATACATCCAGGGTGAGTGTGACATGGTTCTTTCCTTGTGAAGTCCACAAGCCCGAGTTTGAACAATTTTACCTTCTTACAAAAATAAGGGCTGAGATAAAGTGCATTCAGGCAGCAAAGATGTAATAAAATCCCGTTTTTGTGAAATGAACTAGAAATCAAAATTACAGGTGGAGCCTTGGCTGGTGGGCCTCAGTTTGTGGGGCATCCTCTCTGCTCTGAAAGGTTGCCAGTTCCCCTGTCCGGGCACATGTGCCCAGGTTGCAGCTCGCACTGCTTCTACCTGGGCATTTTCCGTTAGCATCACCAGCCACTGAGGAGCAAAAACCTGGAGCTCAACCTCATTGTTCCTCTCCTAGCTAGTAAACATTTGTTCTAGTTTCTTTCCTGTTTGTTGGTTTTTGCTGATCTACCCTGGAGTCAAAGTGTAAAGGGTGTATTAATTGCCAATATGGGTAGATCATCTAATATTGTCTCTGTGTTATCATCTTCAGAATGGGCTTAAGTGTATCTCCTGGGCTTGCTGAGGGAATTAAGTGAGATAGAGTATATGCAACTCTTAAAATAGTGCCTGGCATATAGTGTGTGATCTATCCTTGACATTTTCTGCTTGCATTAAAGGTTTCTACAGTCTTCATCTCTTCCATGGCCAGTTTCCTGACTGGTAAAATTGGAAAATTATCATTATCCTCAAAGGTTTTTTGTTTTTGTTTTTGTTTTTTTTGGGGTGTGTGTGTGTGTGTGTGTGTGTGTGTGTGTGTGTGTGTGTGTGTTTTAAATTCTAACATTGTTTTGAGCCAAATTTGTCCTGGAATGACCCCTGCTCTCCTAAGTGAAAAGCTTCTTGTGAGCAGATACTACCTTTCTCACTCTGGAATGCTTTATAGATCAGAACCTCAATTAAAATGTGCTCATTTTAATTTAATGGACTTATTCTGAAGCTGCAGTTGGGATTTGGAGCAGCCCTCTACTTTCTTTCTTCAACAAATATTTAACCCAGGAAGGAAATCTGCCTGATTTGTGTTTTTCAGGAGAGTCAAATAATGATTTTACTCAGTTGAGGCATATTTTCCTGGCCTGCACAGAATCAAAGCTAGCAGTATTTTATTTTATTTTATTTTATTTTATTTTATTTTATTTTATTTTATTTTATTTTATTATTTTATTTTATTTTATTTTATTTTATTTTATTTTATTTTATTGATTTCAGAGAGGAGGGAGGGAAGAAGGGAGGGAAACATCAATGATAAGAGAATCATTGATCAGGTGCCTCTTGCACAGGGGATCAGAGCCCACAACCCTGCCTGGGAATTGAACCTTGACCTCCTGTTTCATAGGTTGGGTCAACGCCCAACCTCTGAGCCACCCCAGCCAGGCTAAGCTAGCAATATTTTAAAAGCTACTAACCTGGGCCGAAACCGGTTTGGCTCAGTGGATAGAGCGTCAGCCTGCGGACTGAAAAGTCCCAGGTTTGATTCCGGTCAAGGGCATGTACCTTAGTTGAGGGCACATCCCCAGTAGGGGATGTGCAGGAGGCAGCTGATCAATGATTCTCTCTCATCGATGTTTCTAACTCTCTATCCCTCTCTCTTCCTCTCTGTAAAAAGTCAATAAAATATTTAATAAAAAAAAAAAAGCTACTATACTTGAGTAGTAAGCAGTCAAGATAAATACTGAGATAATTTTATTTGCATTTAATAAAATGTTACCATTACAGTTGAGTTTGTAAAAGTTTGATTTTCAAAAGTATAAGTAAACCTTAGAATAAATTGATTATTAAAAATATTGCCTAGCATACTGGTGAAAAATAAGCATTTCTAGGTTGTGGACTTATGACTAATGAAAGGCCTATCTTGTGTTCTCTTTAAAATGGCAGCATATGATTTGAAATAACTTGAATAGGCACCACTGTTGATATTCCTGCTTTTCCTGTTAGATGTAATAAGATTTCATGTGAGAATAAAGCCATTGGCATTTAGTCTTTGACATTTACTCTAAATTTGATTTTAAATTTTGTTAAGCCTCTTTGTTCACTTGCTCATTCTTTCTCCTTTGCCTTTCCTCATCTGATTCCTCTACATCAAAGGAAATTATCGACTTACTTAGATCCTTGAACAGTAGATGATGATCCTTAGATTTTGAGTGTACGTATTGGATGTTACTTTCATATCCACAGTGCCATCGCCTTATATTATAAATATAAATTAGACATTTGGACCTTTGATGGTCTGAAAGCAGAACTCCAGTGTTCCTTCCAACAGAGTCAGTATAAGGATTAAATGAGACTGTAGATGTTTTTAAATTACCATTTGTATTTTATTATTTTGAAAAGAAAACATTATTTAATGTTCATTCTGAGTTGTGGATTATAGTTAATCCTTGTAAGAACCATTTGAGGTAATTATCATCACCTCTATTTTACTGAAAATTGAGTCTTTGGGAGATTATGGATGTAGCATAGGGTCTTATAGCTAGCATATGGTGGAGCCAGGATTTGAACCCCTTCCTTTAGAGCCCATGCTCTCAACTATTTACTGTTTCATTCAACAAATATATATTAGCGCCTGTTTTATAGCAAGCACTGTAAAAATATTTTGTAGAAGATAAAGCATTATAGAAAGAGTAATTATTGCTTCCTTGCCTCTCTTTCCTTAATGGCTTAAAGGGGATTATAGTACTGTGTTGGACTCTGTCTCTATGATAGGCCCAGAGTTTCTCAAAAAAAAAAATGGTCTGTGTATCCCCAGTGTCAGACAAGTGCCTAGTGCCTGAAACAAACTATGACTTAGTAAATATTTCATGAATGAAGTAATGAATGAATGGTAAAGGGTTTAAAGAAGAAAAACAAGCAAACAAACCTCTTCCAGAATCTCTATTTTTTAAAATTTATCTTTTAAGCATTTTAGATTGGAGAGGGTGCAGGCTGGGCTGAGGGACACCTCTCCACCTGTGCACAAGTTTCATGCCCCAGGCCTCTAGTTTATGTAAATCACAATATATGTTGTATGTAGTAGAAATATTTCTATGTATAAATATAAACATATCTAGGACATTTACTTAGATATTTAAAAATGCCGTTTAAAATATATAAATAAATGAAAGTACTGTTTATATTTTAAATACTGAATTTTTAAAAAAATTTATAGTACTTTGTATCTGTAACATTATTTTCATGAAACAAAAACTATTCTAACATAATGTAAGCTGTATTTTAGGGTTTTAGAGTTCCTTTTTATCTGCAATGATTTCTTTTTGTGATTTAGCTTTATGTATTTGTTCTTTTTAATGGCTCTACAGTGTGTGGGTTTCAACGGACCATGATGAAATCGAGAATGTGGCCAAACAATTTGGTGCACAAGTTCATCGAAGAAGTTCTGAAGTTTCAAAAGACAGCTCTACCTCATTAGATGCCATCGTAGAATTTCTTAGTTATCACAATGGTATGAGTTTAATAGTATATTCAAAATGTTATGTGATTTATAACTTGCTTATCAGTCAGTTCACAAGACTTGTTTTATCATTCGCATTTAAGATGACTGTCTTGCAAAATAAGAGAACTTTATTCTGATATCCTTTTGTTTTGTCTTTTTAAAGAGGTTGACATTGTAGGTAATATTCAAGCTACTTCTCCATGTTTACATCCTACTGACCTTCAAAAAGTTGCAGAAATGATTCGAGAAGAAGGATATGATTCTGTTTTCTCTGTTGTGAGGCGCCATCAATTTCGATGGAGTGAAATTCAGAAAGGAGGTAATTTGTTATGTCACTCTTTATTTTAGTTCATTTTATGGAGAATTTGTTTTTCATATGCAAATATTCTTTAGAAGTGAAGAGAGTAAAAAGGAGCAGGAAAAGAAAATATTCTTTCTCAAACCGGTTTGGCTCAGTAGAAAGAGCCTCGGCCTGTGGACTGATTCTGGTCAAGGAAGGGCATGTACCTCGGTTGCTGGCACATCCCCAGTAGGGGGTGTGCAGGAGGCAGCTGATTGATGTTTCTCTCTCATGGATGTTTCTAACTCTCTCTTCCTCTCTGTAAAAAATCAATAAAATATATTTAAAAAAAGGAAAACATAATTCTTAACCCTAGTAGGTAATGACATTTCTAATCAGTTCTCAATCTTGTGATTACTGAGGGAAGACAGTGAGCCAAAATTAATTCTTTGCTTTATTTTTACAAAGAAATATTTTAACCCTTTATTTGCCTTTTCAGATTGACATATTTTTCTAGATCAAGTACTTTTATTTTTGTTCTAGACATGTTTGATAAACTCTATATAAAACATATAGAATTGTGGAAATAGAAAGCATCCACCAAAGAGTTTTAGAGGAACTCAAGAATGAATTGTGTAATTTCCCAAAATATGCTACTTTTTTATGTAAAAGAGTTCCATAGTGTTTAGGTAGAGCCTGATTTCTAGCCAGATAAACTAGCAAAATATGTAATAAAGAATAGAATCACCAACAAATAGGTAAATATAACATACTTGAAGAAAGGCATTGTGATTTCTGTTATGTGCCTTTTGTTGAGTGTAGAAAAGCTGGCCTAATTGTCTCTAACATAAGTGTAACTTAAAATGTTATTCTTTTGAAGATGTATCTTTAGCATGTTATTCCATTATCTTCTACCATCCATTGTTTCTTATAAGAAATCAGCTGTAGCTGAAACTGGTTTCGCTCAGTGGATAGAGCATCCGTCTGCGGACTGAAAGGTCCCAGGTTCGATTCCAGTCAAGGGCATGTACATTGGTTGCAGACACATCCCTGGTAGTGGGTGTGCAGGAGGCAGCTGGTCGATGTTTCTCTCTCATCAATGTTTCTAGCTCTCTATCCCTCTCCCTTCCTCTCTGTAAAAAAATCAATTAAAAATATATTTTAAAAAAAGAGATCAGCTGTAAATCTGACCATTGTTTCTCTGAATATGATTTTCTTCAGGCTACTTTTAAGATTTCCTCTTTATCTTTAGTTTCTATAGTTTGACTCTAATACAGTATGTATTGCTGTGGTGTTCTTTGGGTTCACTCTGTTTGGAGTTCCCTGAACTTTTCATATCTATGGATTGATATATGTCATCAGTTTTTAAGAATTCTCTTCAAATATTTCTTTGGTCACATTTCCTATCTCTTTTTTTTTCCTGGGACTCCGATTTAAATGGATTTTAAACAATTTTATAGTGTTCACATGTCTCTCATAGTCTGTTCTGCATTATTTATTTTTCTTTGTGCTTTATTTTGAGTAATTTCGATTGACTTATGTTCCAGCTCATGTATCATTTCTTCTAACTTGTCTAGTGCACTCTAAATTCTGTCCAGTGATTTATTTCAGGAACTGTGTGTTTTCCTATTATAGAATATATCCTTAAGATATTTTTTAGAGACTCCATTCTCTGTTGAGATGTTCCATCTTTTTATCCTTATTCTTTTTTTTTCAAACTATAAGAGAACATCCTATATAATAAAAGGCTAATTTGCAAATCGTCCCCTTGGGAGTTCGACCAACCAGGAGTTTGACCGACTGGGAGGCTGATTGCTTTCTATGACGTGTGCTGACCACCAGGAGGTGGTGTGAAATGAAGGGATGCCCTGCCTGGCAGCCAGGGGAAGGAAGGCCCTGGCCAGCAGCGGGGGGAAGTAAGGTCCCAATCAGCCCTGATCTCTGGCCAGGTCTAGGTCTACCTGTGCACAAATTTTATACACTGAGCCTCTAATTTATTTAGAAAATCACACAGAGGTAAAAGTGATTTGTAGAAGAAATGGGCTTAAGAAACAAGTTATGGCCAAAACTGGTTTGGTTCAGTGGATAGAGCGTCGGCCTGCAGACTGAAAGGTCCCAGGTTCGATTCCAGTCAAGGACATATACTTTGGTTGCGGGCACATCCCCAGTAGGGGGTGTGTAGGAGGCAGCTGGTTGACGTTTCTCTCTCATCGATGTTTCTAATTTCTCTATCCCTCTCTCTTCCTCTCTGTAAAAATTGAATAAAAATAAAATGAATAGAAATATATTAAAGAAAAAAAAAAAAGAAAGAAACAAGTTATGCTAGTAGAGACAAGGAAGGGCCCTTAGAGCTTAGAAGTGAGGAAGGTAAAAGTGACCAGACTTGTAGGACCATGGGGGGGAGACACTGGTATGCTCAGGGAGGGAGAACACTTCATTCTTTTAAAAAATATTTTTTTAAATTTCTTTAAGATCTCCATGATAGTTATATAAAAATCATTGATTGTAACATCTGGATCATTTATAGTTCTGTTCCTGTGACTTTTTTTCTGATTAGGAGTCATGTAATATTGCTTCTTTATATGTGTCATATTTTATCATTTGCCAGACATACAGACTGGAATATATATTATTTTCTTCTATCAGGCTGATAGGATAAGAGGCTAATCACTTTGCTTTAATTAGGAGTTGGGCAGTGTTGCAACTATTAAAATTCTGGTTTCTCCTTATTCCAGCTAAGATCCTCTGCTTATGCAAAGCTTAATCTTTTTTTTACCTCTTTCTCAGACTGAGCAAATAACTCCAGTGGAAATTCAGCCACTGATCCTATAAGAAAGACTTGTCCCTCTCTTTTCTTCAAAGTACCACTTGAATTATCTTGTTTATTTGCTTACTAGAAGCTGGATGCACAAAATACCCTCTTCAATCTGGGACCCTTCGGAGGATGCCTGACTGCTGGCTTAAACCAGCTGTCAGGCATTCCACTCTCAATCTGGGATGACTAGCTCCTAACCACTCACCTACCAGCCTGCCTGATCGCCCTTAACCCCTCTGCCTGATCATCCCTACCTTGTCCCCTGCCAGCCTGATCACCCCTAACCTTTCTGCCTGTCTGCCTGCCTGATTGCCCCAACTGCCTCTGCCTGCCTGCCTGATTGCCCCTAACTGCCCTCTCCTGCTGGCCTGATCTTGCCCCCATCTGCCTCTGCCTGCCAGCCTGGTCTCCCCCAATTTCCCTCCCCTGCTGGCCTGATCACCCCTAACTGCCTCTGCCTCGGCTCTTACTACTATGGCTTTGTCTGGAAGGAAGTCAAACATCTGGTAGATGGCCCGTTGACCTGGTCTAATTAGCATATTATCCTTTTATTAGTATAGATTGTCTATCCCCGCCACTAGATTGCACACTCCATGAGAGTAGGAGTTATGTTCACTGTTGTGTATCCAGTGCCTATAAAACTATACCACATACTCAATATATGTTTGCTGAGTATTTTTCCTAATTATATCAAACATTGGGTTGGAGTTGAGCAGAGGATGGTTTTGTTAGGGAAGTATGTATAGATTATTCCTAAAAGCCTCTATATACAGAAGTGACAACAAAAAGTGAAGAAAGATTCTGAAGAATTACCAGTTATTAAGCACACACACAGCCCAAGTGTATACATACCTGTACATATCCACAAACACAATTTAGGAAAAACTAAGTGAAAAGGCAAAGGAATTCCTATTTTCTAGTACTAAGGATGTCATCTATATACATAAAAGCCTAAGAGACCAAACGACTGGTCACTGTGATGCACACTGACCACCAGGGGTCAGCATAGGAACTGCCCCCTGGTGGTCATTGTGCTCCCAGCCAATTTCCCATGGCTGGCCAACCTCCTGTGGTTCCTTCCCCTGGCCGGCCAATCTCCTGTGGTCCCTCCCCATGGATGGGGGCCATCGGTCAACCTTCTGTGGCCCCTGTCCCCTCCCCCCAGCTGAATGGCCCCAACTGGAACCTCCTGTGGCCCCTCCCCTGGCCAACCTCTGCAGCCCCCATTGGCCCCAATTGCCGGCCAGGCTGAGGAACCCCACCCATGCATGAATTCATGCACTGGGCCTCTAGTTTATTATATTGTGTTATGATAATTGATGTTGATATTGCTGAGCCTTCATTACCAAGAAAAATAATAAATGCTATTTATTATTATGGTTAGTTTCTTTTTTAACCACTGGTAAGAACTCATAGTACATTATATAAACATTTTTGTCACTATAAAAGTTTCAGTAATTTAATAGGGAAATCTTCACTTTTCTATAATTCTGACTGTCATTTCTCAACCACATTAGATGAATAATGCATACATTGTATTTCTATAGAAATAAATGATGATAAATAGTTTAAAGGGGTCAGTTATTGAATATTAGTATTTTATGGCCAATCTGTTTTTTGATAACTTTGAGGTTTCCCTGATGTCCTCCCAAAGCATTATATTTATATAAACACATTAAAATATTAATTATGCAGAATTCTACTGTGAAATACTTTATCTTTCTATTATTAGAAAACAAAGATAAGTCATCAGAATTATTACAGATTTTATTTAAATCTTCTTAAATATTTATAAATCTTAAATATAAATCTTAAATCTTAAATATTTATCTAGATACAGAAATATTCTACATTCTTGAGTTCATTTCTATGCTTTTTAAAGAATTACTAAATAGATTCAAAGCAATGCGGACTTAATATAGCTTTTTGCTTTTAGTTCGTGAAGTGACTGAACCTCTGAATTTGAATCCAGCTAAACGACCTCGTCGACAAGATTGGGATGGAGAGTTATATGAAAATGGCTCATTTTATTTTGCTAAGAGACATTTGATAGAGATGGGTTACTTACAGGTTTGTGCCTTCATTTTATAAAACCTTTTAAACCCTTTTGTGGTATACTTTTGAGTTTTAGGGAAGAGGTATGGCACAGTTCATAGTGAAAAATATCAACTCCTAGAGGAAAGGCATAACTCAAGATTTATTATCTCAGCATTTATCCTGTAGGCTTACCCCAAACTGCTCTTTGGAATCCATCCAGTAAATATGCAAGAAATTCTGCAACTAAAATATTATAATAGGAAATGAATCAAATATTGAATGTTCTTTGCATGTCCTGGTATTCATATTATTACATTCAAAACTTTAATTTATGGTTGTTACTGTCATGTTATAGTTGTACAGTTGAATAACTTCTGTTGCTTTAAAAAGAAATAAAAAAGTATATAGTAAAGGTGAAACAGCACCAACCTGGGCATCAGGAAAATTGAATTATAATTTATATATTTATGTAATCTTAAATATATTGTTTTATCTGTTCTTGCCCTTATTTTAAAATAAAGAGGTTGGGTGTTTCTCTCATCTTTAGAGCCTACATGGTTGTATCATATGCTATTTTTTCATTTTAGTTATATCTATTACTTATTCAGCACTTACCAAGGACTACATGAAATACTACATAGGATATCTCTTGTAATCTGAATAGCAACAGAATAAAGTGGACATCCCAAGCCCAGTTTTTCAGAGGAAGAAATGATAGATTTGAAAAATAAAATAATTGGCTTAAGGCAAAAACAAGCAGTAAATGGTATTGTCGGGATTTGGATTCAGATCCTTACATTACTCAAAAATAGCATTTAATAAAACACTAAAACTCCACTGTCTATAGTAGAAATTCTAATGTGACTCATGCTCCGAGGGAAAAATATTTTTCCAAACTTCTTCAGTGTTTAGGCAAACTGTAGGCTGTTTGAGTGTTAAGTTTGAGTGTTAAGGAAAATTCAGTTTGACAGATAGAGATACCACCGTCCTGAACTGGTTTGACCCTTCCCTAAAGTGTGAAGAAAAATAAAATCTTTCATTATAATTTGTGAAGAGACTTGCAATTCTTGCCCCCATATCTCGGTATCAGTAAATCATCCCTATCTTAGTGCACATATGAATCAGATAGTATTGCTCACTCCCATCTGGAGCACAGGGATCTAAGATAATTCTGTACACTAGATACTCTAGTTATTTTTTCCTTTCCTATCTTGCTCCTTAGTTATAAATAGGAACAAATTCCGAAAACATTTCTATTGCCTTTGAATGATGAGAGAGATTGCCAGAACAGAAAATTCCTGTGGTCAGAAAACTGAAGGATGGGTATTATTTTTGATTTTTGCAATCATAAAGTAATCTATCCAAAAGAAAATGAGAACTTGCACTGTGTAGATAAAAGTTGAAAAATGTGCCGGGACCGGTTTGGCTCAATGGATAGAGCGTCGGCTTGGGGACTGAAGGGTCCTGGGTTCGATTCCGGTCAAGGGCATGTACCTTGGCTGCGGGCACATCCCCGGTAGGGGGCGTGCAAGAGGCAGCTGATCGATGACTCTCTCTCATCGATGTTTCTAACTCTCTATCTCTCTCCCTTCCTCTCTGTACAAAATCAATAAAATATATTTAAAAAAAAAAAAAAAAAAAAAAAAAAAAAAAAAAAAAAAAAAGTTGAAAAATGTTACAGTTAAAAGAAAATAAAAGAAAAATGTAAAAGTTATTTGTTTTATGTAATTTGAATATATAGGAAACAAAAATATAAGCTTTTCCCTCAAAAAAAGGGATTTGTTATATGTCATTAATATTATTGGGTTATTCGTTTTTCTCAATACTGTAGAAATGAATTCATTGTTCTGCATTAGAAACTTTCGATTTATGTAAATGCATGTAAAAACCAGCACTCATGGCATTTGTACTGTTTAGGGTGGGAAAATGGCCTACTATGAAATGCGTGCTGAGCACAGTGTGGACATAGACGTGGATATTGATTGGCCTATTGCAGAACAACGAGTATTAAGGTAAAAACAAGACTTATATAGCCTTTGCACAAGACTCTATAACATTATTGTTAGTAGATATGTTTATCATACTTATGAACACTGATTTGTGATACTCCATCTAAGGATCTGTGTAATTCATTTGCTCATGTGAGGAAGACATATACATAAACTATTCCTTTAGATGACACTTTCAATATGTTGAGAAACACATAGTCCACTTAGACCACTCTACTTATTCTCCACTGTAAGTTTAAGTATATTTGTGAAGTAAATATGAAGGGTACTTCTGAATAATTGGATGGGAATGGGCTAAATTTCCTGGCATTAGCCAGATGAGAGACAGTGACTAGTATTGCACTTATATTCAAAGGTCTATTTGGTTTCTTTTAGATATGGCTATTTTGGCAAAGAGAAGTTTAAGGAGATAAAACTTTTGGTTTGCAGTATTGATGGATGTCTCACCAATGGCCACATTTATGTATCAGGAGACCAAAAAGAAATAATATCTTATGATGTAAAAGATGCTATTGGCATAAGTTTATTAAAGAAAAGTGGTATTGAGGTATGTGCCCCTGAATACAGCATTGTTTTTCAAGATTATGATTCAGGGTCAAGGAATATGTAACGGAAATGAGATATACATTTTTTATATCATCTATTAAAATATCTGAAATTTAGCCTTCATGTGCCTAGAAAATTATCATACTACTTAATTGTAGAAGAGCAAAATGTGAAGCAACAAGTAAATGTTTATTTAATAAGTATGAACGTATTATTTTCGTATAGATGCTTTTTAGTTGCTAAAGGATCTTGCAACCAGAAAGATTTAATAAAAAATGTCAGTGTTTAAAAATAAAGCAAATATCTTAAAGACTTTAAAATGTAGCTTATTCTTATGATTAAAAATTTTAATTCACAATAGCTTAATATTAATGTGTATTTTAAGATGATTTCTCATAATTGATTAGAACTCTTATGTGTTTTTAAGCAGTACAAGAGATATATTATAGACATTTCTTTGGATAAATTGAATTACAGGAGACTCTTAAATTAGCTTCAGACAGTGTATGTTGCACTTTTTTTACATGTAGGTAGAATCCTCTCCATGGTAGAAAACTGTCTTTCACCTTTACAGGTCTACTTACACATAGTAGAATTTGTCCTTCAAAAGGTCAAAGGACTACTCAGTTGTGTTTTGTATTGTTTACCAAGGTATTATCTTATTCTGAAAGATTTCTGTTTCTCTTATTTTCTCCTTTTGTCCTTTTTTTAAAAGGTGAGATTAATCTCAGAAAGGGCCTGTTCAAAGCAGACACTCTCTTCCTTAAAACTGGATTGCAAAATGGAAGTCAATGTACCGGACAAGCTAGCAGTTGTAGATGAATGGAGGAAAGAAATGGGCCTGTGCTGGAAAGAAGTGGCATATCTTGGTTGGTATCTTTTTATTCAGCCATAATAAAACGAATCAGGATTTTTTTTTTTTTTAAGAAATAAAAAGCATGAAAGAAAATTCCCACAATTAGCATGATTATAAAGAAACAGAAACTCTCCTACACTACCGACAAAAGTATTAAATTCAGACAGCCCTCCTGGAGGTCACTTTAATAATATTTATCAAGTGTAGCCAGAGAAATGATTACCAACACTTGCTGTGGAGTCAGACCACAACATTGAAGCCAATTTTGGTAAGGAAAGCCTACTTTTCCTCATCTATAAATTGGAACTGTTAAAAGTACCTATTGTCATTGGTCTATTACCAGTTACATAAAATGGGTAAAGCATTTAGCAGATTCCTAATTATAAATAGAACACTTTGAATATTTCTAGCCATTATTATATGTACATCTTTTTTTGTTTGTTTGTTTTGTTTTAAATGTACATAGTTTTGACCCCAAAATTCCAATTCCAGAAAAGAAATTGGACAAATGTGGCAATAATAGAGAAAAAATAAATGACCTAAATATTCTACAAAAATAAAATATCTATAAAATTGAATACTATGCAACCATTACAAACAATGGTCAGATCTCACAAGTTTTTCACGGTAGTATGAAGCAAATATATTTATTACACGCTTACTGTATGCAGACTTTGAACTTGTTCCTGGGACTTAATAGTTACAGAGCTTACAGTCTAATGATGTCAGTATTTTAAATAATAATGGCTAACAATGTCAAGTTATTATATATAATAGCTATAAGCCATGTATGAAATAAATATTTACAGGGCTAATACGGGCCTCAGAAGCATCACAGAATGCTTTGGAAGCATATGATCTGGAGGCTCAGGAATAGCCTTTGAACCTCATGTACAAATTGTATGGAGAAAAATACTATAGAACCTTTGATAGAAAATGATCCAGGTTTTGTAAGAAGAGAACAAAATCCCAGCTATACTTATTTATTATCTGTGTGACCCTAAGCAAGCTTCTCTAAACCTTAGTTTTCCTAGTTATAATATATACCAAAATGTAATGACTGTTCATAAATGGTGGTAATTAGGATGATTTTTGAATATGTTTGCCTTCACTTATAAGAAAAAACTAAAAAGTAGTAGTTAGAAAATTGGGAAAATAAAGAATTTTTATTTAAAAAGAACAGTTTTGTATGGACCACATAAATATATAACAATGTGTCCCTTAAAATATTGACACTTTTATAAGTAAAATTTAGTAAAGCTTAATTTGAGGGATGAATAATATGAAGAAATATCCTAATTTTAATCATCTTTCAGTGAAAACAATTTAAATTTCAGTACATTTACCAATAGGAGAAAATTTTCAGTAGATAAATGTAGGAAAATATAAAACAGACTCTTAAATGGCATTTTATTGTTTGTTTTTGCTCTGTAGCAAAGTAGTAGTTATACTCAGAATGGTGAATCTAAGGTACTGGGAGCTTCTGAAATTCATTCTGTCAAAAATTGGGGGATTGAGAAGAATCAAGGCAAGGGAAGAAGGGATGTAGTTATGTTAGTTGTAATGGTGATTTTTCAACAAATAAGTGTTATTCAAATCAGAACTATTACAAATTAAAAGAGACTTATGATATATATCAACAACAGCCCGTGGATATGACTCAGTGGTTGAGCATTGACACAAGAGTTTGGTTACCAGTTAGGGCCCAGAGGGATAGAGTTTGGTTACCAGTTAGGTTACCAGAGGGATAGAGTGATAGAAACTTCAATGAGAGAGGAACATTATTGGTTGGCTGCCTCCTGCAAGGCCCCTGTTAGGAATTGAACCTGATCATTGAAGTTTCTATCACTCTATCCCTCTCCCTTCTTCTCCTTCTAAAAAAATCAATAAAGACATTAAAAAAATACATATCAATAAAAGAAAAAAAATACATATCAACAAAATGTAATATGTGGAGCCTTTTTGGTTTCTGATTCACATAAATCAACTAAAACAATTTTGAGACAACTGAGAATATTTGAATTATTAGGTGATATTAAGGAATTGTTGATTTTGTTAGTTTGATGATATGTCACTTTTAAAATATATCTCAGAGATAAATGCTAAAAAGTTTTTGGGGTAAAATATATCTGGGGTTTCTTTATCCCCTCAAAAAAGCAAGGTGGCAGGAAATAGAGAAAAAATATTGATAAATTATCTAAAACATTGATAATTATTCCATAAGAACAAATTCTTTAACATATTTTTGTTCCATCTAAGCTGTAATATATGCAGCGCTTTAGGCCACTAAACTTACTAGAATTACTTATTGTTTGCTGTTTGCATCATTTGGAAAGAATATTCTTTGTCTCTTTAAATGGTCAACCAGTGTTTCTTTTCTGCTATAGGAAATGAAGTGTCTGATGAGGAGTGCCTGAAGAAAGTAGGCCTAAGTGCTGTTCCTGCTGATGCCTGTTCCACAGCCCAGAAGGCTGTCGGGTACATTTGCAAGTGTAATGGTGGCCGTGGTGCCCTCCGAGAATTTGCAGAGCACATTTTCCTACTAATGGAAAAGGTTGTTAACTCCTGCCAAAAATAGAAGTTAGTGTAATGTGTTGGGGGGAAGTATACAGTCTTCTTCAGCTATTTTACGTTTGTTTTTGATTAAGTACAATTCCATGTTTTAATGTTATAGACATGTGACTTGATTTGTGATATATCTTCATATCTTTTAAAGCAAAGTCTTCTCAAATTGTCTCTCCAAAACCTACTGTGAAATAATTGTGCTGTACTTTTCTCTTTATGCAAGATAATTATTTAGAGATTGATTTACAGTCTCACATTTTTAGTAAATGCAAGTAAGAACATGATCAAAATTGCCTTTGTATTGTACCCTGTAAAACTGTGTGTTTGTGTGCTATTTATGCTATTTTATTTATTTGGGGACAGTGTATCTGGTAAGACATGCTCTTCTATTAATTAAAAAAATACATTTCACAGACTTGATGAAAACTGCCTTGTTGCTCTAGAAAAAATTTTACTGAACATGCTCTGATTTCCTTTAAACACTGACCATGTAATGGACGTGAGAAACAAACCACTAAATATGAGGTGTATAACTCCTGATTATAGTACATATACATAGTGCAAATAATCTGAAGAAATGTTATGAAGATGGTTTGCAGTTACCTTGAGGGCATGGTAATTATGTATACTAAATTTAGCTCTCATCACAATCTTATAGCCACCACAAATTATTCTCTTACCTAGTTAGATTCTAAAAATTGGATATTATCTCATAAATATGGACATTTACCTAATAAACACTAACAATTTCCTATTTGAATATTTTTTAAAATAATATATTTCTTTATTGATTTCAGAGAGGAAGGGAGGAGAGATAGAAACATCAGTGATAAGAGAGAATCATCAATTGGCCACCTCCTGCACACCCCCGATTAAGATTTAGCCTGCAACCCAGGCATGTGCCCTTGGTCAGAATCGAACCCAGGACCCTTCAGTCTGCAGGCTGATGCTCTATCCACTGAGCCAACCCATCCAAGGCCATTTGCATCTATTTCAACTAATAAACATTTCATGTAAAAGTTTGGCAAGAAGTAATTTGTTCAGGCCAAGCTATACTGGAAGCTGTTTTCCTTGGTCACACCTAGATTTATACAGTTCAGAATCTGCCCCCTATAAGCTAGATGGACATTGGGAAAAAAGAAGGATTATCTTTTATCTTAATCTTCTTAACATCTTGTCCTGGTTTTACTCCCATCTTTCCACTGTTGACTATTTTCTCCTCTCCCTTAAATGTACCTATCGCAAAGGTTCTAAGCCCAGTTCTTCCCAGAGACCACATCTTTATTCTGTAGCCTCCATGCTGATGCCTCCAAAATCTAATCTCTGCTGTGAGTTCTGGTTGCATTTCAAACTCTTCGTGATCCAGACTCCTGGACTTCACTCTCAAATGTCTGCTTTTATCATTGAGGCATCACAGTCTTTCACTATTTTTCCTTTTCATCTCTAGTCAGACACCAAATCTTGAGCATGCTTCATTCAGTTTATCCAATGTTATCATTAGGTTTAATTCTCACATTTGATGCTATCCTTACAAAATCTTTTAGTGACTCCAGGCTGACCACAGGATGTGGTAAAACATTCCTCAGCCCAAACATACTCTGTCCACAATCTAATATTTCCAGCTTGGCTCCTACTGATCCTGAGGGTCCCTTGAGTTATTCTGTGTAATTCTCCTACAGTGCCTCCTATTCTTCTCGAGTCATACCTTTAACCAATACATAAATCACTCGTTCCTCAAAAAGCTCCTGCCAAAGTACCTCCCAAAATAAATACTGTGCATAGTATAGATTATACTGGAGTCCTTGTTTCATTTCAGTGACCCAAAGCCAAGTACAAGGAGAGAGTTAAGTCCTCACTGTGACTCCTATTTCCTGTATTCCTAATAGTACTGCATTTTAGTATCAGCTCTGATATGTTGAAGAACTTAGAAGTTGCCACTCCCTTCTTCAAAACAAGAAAAACTGGAAAAACTAAAACTTAATAACTTGTCTGAACTGAAGTCAGAGGGCAAGCAACCACTCCAAATCAGAAGAGACAGGTATTTCCAGAGAGGTACCACACCTGACACTTGTTTACCTGGAGCAAAAGCTGCTAGGTGGCATAACTAATCAACACTTAACTAATAATTTTGGTGAATTGCTAGAGATTGAGAATGAGAACTAATATGAGAGCAAGAAACTCCTAAAGGCCAGTCATGGGGGGCCGGGGAGTCTTCCCTCCAGAAATGCCAGCAGGTTCTCTCAAGATGGATCTGAAGATTGGAGGAAATTTCCCTGGTGGTCCTGACAGGAAGAGAATAACCATTGTGAAACTCTCCCAGATTCTTCGAGCAGAGGCCTACTCTCCAATAAGAAGAACGTCTCTCCAGCAGGCAATACTGAAAACTTACCCAATTGGGAGAAGGGAACTCTGCTCTAGTTCACTCCAGCCTTCCTCTCACCTGAAGGAGGGAAAAACTCCCTAGTCGACAGAAAGGAGAGGACACCAAGGAAATAGATTGGGAACACTGCAGTCAGGAAAGAAAGTAGGAGCAGGGGGTAGAAAGCTGTCCCCCAAGAAACCTAGTGAAGGCCGTACTCCCAGGACAAGCCCAGTGAAAGACCAAGGACTTAGGCTTCTCTTTCACACCATGCACCACACCAGTGTTTTGCCAGGACAGTAACAGTGGTATACAGCTGAAAAGGCTACAGAGCATGAACTTTTACTGAGGCAATACAAAAGAAAGTCCCAAAAGTCCTTAAAGTAAAAAATTAGGACTCAAGGAATTTGAAGTCTCTGGTAGAAGAAACAAATACAGCCCAACTACCAGTAAGGTTAGTGAATTAACACTAAAGATTGCTGAAACCGGTTTGGCTCAGTGGTAGAGCGTCGGTCTGCGGACTGAAAGGTCCCGAGTTCGATTCCAGTCAAAGGCATGTACATTGGTTGAGGGCACAGCCCCGGTAAGGGGTGTGCAAGAGGCGGCTAGTCGATGTTTCTCTCTCATCGACGTTTCTAGCTCTCTACCCCTCTCTCCTCCTCTCTGAAAAAATCAATAAAATATATTAAAAATAAATAAATAAATAAATAAAAACACTAAAGATCATTTTGTCTTGGTACCTACTACCCAATTGATTCCAGTCAAGGGCATATGCCCAAATTGTGGGCTCGATCCCTAGTAGCAAGCGTGCAAGAAGCAGCTGATCAGTGATCCTCACCATTGATGTTTCTATCTCCTGCTCCCCTCTCTTCCTCTCTGAAATCAATAAAAATATATATTTTAAAAATAATAAAAATTTTAAAAGAGAGAGCAGTCATCAGATCAAGATTATTAATGTAAGAAACATTCAAACCCATAAAGAATTTTTGTGTTTATTTGAGCCAAACTCACAAACATTGAGGTAATACTCTGCAGAATGGCAGTTTTTCACCTATTTTCATAAGTTACCATTAAAGGAGGAGACATCAGTAGGTTAGATGAACTCCATTGGGCACTAATCTCCCTCTGAGTTTATTTCGTAATCTGGGAAACAAGGAAATATTTCTTGAGTAAATGAATGAATCTACAAAAGAATAGATCCTGTGCCCATCTGATAATGACTGTTACTGTTACTGTTACTGTTACTGGACAACAGTTAGTCTGTGCTGCCTGTCACTACTGGAACCAATTCAGCAGAGACAGGGTTGAATCATATACGAGCGTTTTTCAAATATTGCCGGCAGTATGGGAGAGCAGCAGGTCATCCACAAAACTCTGCTCTGTACCCAAGCATAAGCTCTCTGCTTATATTGGTAGAAGAACAAAGATTACATGGGAAAGTAGGCAAAAGAGCAAATGGGCAGTGTACAGATATGCAAAAGAGCTGGGGTCTTCAAAGGGCTTGGAAATATGCAGGGGCTGGTTTACAAAGGAAATAGCCAAAGGGTATGCCAAATGGGCAGTTAACAGGTAAGCAGAGGGCTTGGGATTCTCAAAGTGCTTAGTGATATGCAAGGTCTGGGGATCTTCAATGGGCTGGCAATTCTGGTTTCTGTAACAAAGTTGTTAATTTTTCCGTGGTAATAGCAGTTCCAAATGGGAAGGAAGGGCTAAACTTCCAGGTGAGCTCCCAGGTCCTGAGTGAGGCTGCCAGCCAGGTTAGAATGTACCTTCTTTAATCAGAATAAAACAACCATGGTTAACAGAGCATGATTAATATTTCTTACAAATCTAGCTGGTTCCCCAACATTCTATCTCTGCTTTGATCATTACCTGAATTGTTTATTGTTTCCTAACTAGAGGTCCTGTGAACAAAATTTGTGGGTGTCCCTCATCCCAGCCTGCACCCTCTCCAATCCAGGACCCTTGCTGGATTGAGCCTAAACCAGCAGTCGGACATCCCTCTCACAATCTGGGACTGCTGTCTCCTAACCACTCTTCTGCCTGCCTGCCTGATTGCCCCTAACCACCTCTGCCTGCTGGCCTGATCGCCCCTAACCACCTCTGCCTGCCAGCCTGTTTGCCCCTAACTGCCTCTGCCTGCTGGCCTGATCATCCCCTAATAGCTCCCCTGCTGACCTGATCAACCCTAATTCCCCTCCCCTGCCGGTTTGATCCCCTTAACTGCTCTCCCCTGCCAGCGTGATCACCTCTAACTGCCTCTGCCTTGGCCCCAACACTGTGGCTTTGTTCAGAAGGACATTCAGAAGGTCGCCCAGAAGATGTCTGGTCTAATTAGCATATTACCCTTTTATTAGTATAGATTGTTTAAAGGACCAAGTGTGACTACTGTGAAATCTTAAAAGTCTTTGTATTTATTTACCACACGTTGTTATAAATAGCTTTCTCCAAATTTAAAAATTTTTGCTAGAATGTCACCTTTGATGACCTGGTACTCTTCTCTGCCTGAACTGGTTGTGGAAGGAGTACTACTAAACACAGTACTAAAGGGTTTTGGCTTGTCCACATTTTGTTGATGAAATTCCTCATGCAGATCTATTTCATGCTTTATTTGAACTGCTCTCAAATTGTAAGGATAAAGTTGATGCAATGTT